AGACCCATATAATAACATCCACATACCTTGTACATTTTTATTTTTGATAGAAATGCTCAGTATCTTAAATTATCTGGCCACTTTATTCTTTTAAAAAGGCTATGCTCCTATATCTTATTGATTTCAAATTTTGCTTACTTTTATTCAAGCCCTTACTTAGGCCTATCTGGAAACAAACTATGAAGATTAGGTTAATATCACTGTATTGTTGACACAGCAGTGTAACTATTTTGTTTATTTGAAGTCTATCTTGCAAATAAGAAATTGTCTTTTGGGCATTATTTAAAGCTGGAGAATTTAAAGTATGTGCACCAAGCTTTGTCTAGCTTTTCCTGTTGACCTGAAACAATTTAACAAAAGCATACCAATTGTTCAATTACCTATTCTGAATTTAAAAATGGTCCATTGGACTGACATGATTGGGACCACTGATTCAGAAGGGATCATCAATAATCAAAGATAAACTTTCCTGAATCCTGACCTGAAATTGGGTGGATGGCGCACAAGGAAATTAAAAGGTTCAGTTATATTAATAATCAGAGCTGATTTTCAATGTGACACTTTCAATAGAAATGTACAATTAAAAGAACACTGGTAAATGAATGTTATGTTATAGAACAGTGTGTTTGGGCTCGGTGGTCTTGGCAGTTTGGTGTTTCAAAGGGAGTAATTAGATAAAGGTTTTAATGGTTTGTAACGTCAAAGGAAATGCTGCATATGCTTCTATTATACAGATATAACAAAATAGGAAAAAAACTACACATAACACATCCAAGGTTAAAAATCAAAGACTGCTGGGGAGAAATAACAGGCTCTCTCTAATCTTTCACTTTTGAGGGAGAAAAAAGCCAAAAGTTAAACCATAAAATGTTGGCTATGGACTGGAGTGATGGCTCATGTCTGTAGTTCCAAAACTTTGGGAGGCCAAGGTGGGAAGATCGTTTGAGGCGAGGAGTTCAAGACCAGCTGGGACAATACAGTGAGACACCGTGTCTACAAAAAAATTAAAAAATCAGCTGGGCATGGTGGTGCAGGCCTGTAACCCCAGCTACTCCAGAAGCTGAGTTGGGAGGATTACTTGAGCCCAGGAGTACAAAGGCTGCAGTGAGCTATGATCACACCACTGTATTCCAGCCTGGGCAACCCAATGAGAACCTGTTTCTTAAAAATAAAACCCTAAATCTGCTATGGTTTGAATATATGTACCCTCTAAACTCATGTTGAAACTTAACCCCCAAGGTGGCAGTACTGCAAAGCAGGCCTTTAAGAGATGATTGGGTTATGAAGGCTTTGCCCTCATAAATGGATTAATCCATTCATGGATTAATAGGTAATAGATTAATGGGCTATTATGAGAGTGAGACTGCTGGCTTTGTAACAATAACTGAGCTAGCATGCTCAGCACCCTTGCCCTGTGCCACTTCTCTCTGCACAGAGTCCCCACCAGCAAGAAGGCTCTCACCAGATGCAGCCCCATTGACCTTGGACTTCTCAGTCTCCATAACTGTAAGAAATAAATTCATTTTCTTTATAAATTACCCAGTTTCAGATAATCTAAGCAACAGAAAACGAACTGAGACAATGCCCTGTGAAATGGATACCATGTTCCAGACTTTATATCAGTTACCAAAGCTTGGCCTTTTCAAATTGGCTTATTTGCCCTTAATGAGTAACTTTCACTCTTTCTGGTTGCTTTATGCAAGTCACATACTAGTGAATCAGAGAAAAAGACTGGCCATAATGACAATTCCTCTAATCAATAATTTTGCTTGCAGAAATGAAAGTTTTTAGAAAGAAAAACTAATGTAGAAAAGGAACTGGAAAAACAAGAAAATACTTCAGATTCACTAAACAAAA